TGGTGTTTTTTCAATACTTTTTGAAAATTTGTAAATTTTTTTTCGGTACTCCAATGGCCCAAAAAAAATCCGCGACCTTTTTTTTCTCTCAAAATCAAAAGTTCAGAAAAGAAAAAATGTGTATATAAATTATTTTTATCAAAATCTAAAATTTTACAAAGATTAAACCAAAGAATCACAGAAAATTTGCAAAATTGTAATAAGCAAATTCGCAATTTTTAGTTCTGGTCTAATCTTTAAGGAAAAGTTATTTAAATTCTCTAGTTCCTTTCTTCTTAGTATATTCTAAAGTATCAAATATACGCTGTTCAATTGAAACCTAAAGAACCATTGAAAAACAATTTTTCCGTAAAAATTTATATCAAAACTGAAAATTGCGAATTTTCTAATTTCAATTTTGCAAATTTTCTGAAATTCTGTGATTCAATCTTTTTAAAATTTTAGATTTCGATAGAAACAATTTATTTACACATTTTTGTTTTTCTGAACTTTTGATTTTGAAAGAAAAAAAGGTTCGCGGATTTTTTTTGGGCCATTGAAGTACCAAAAAGAAATACAAATTTTCAAAAAATATTTTAAAAAACCATACAGAAGAGTTGCACAAAAAAAGTTACACTTTTGCACCAGGCGCGGCGCCGCAAATCACACTTTTTTTAACATGAACTGACTCAAAGTGTACACAGACCCGTGTTTCCATTAATAAATTGATTTTCAGCTGTAGGTAAAAATATTTAGTTTAAAACAATAACAAATAAAAATAATAATGCTTAATGTCGTCTTCCAGTACAAATCCGTAAATCTTCCAAAGGAGCAGAAGATTAGCCTAATCTCAGCCCATTTTATTTTTTTGTTGCCGTGGAAAACAATTTTTTTACATCATGATGAACCCTGAATTATATATGTTGCTTGTTTGATTGCCTGTCTGTTTGTGTCTAATAAACGAAAAAAAAAACAGCCGAACCAACCGGGCCCAAACTTGTTGTGGGACCTCAACCCCAGGGAATAAAATTTCAGATGGGCACGAAGAGCTCTAAAAGCTTAGTAAAGCATATATTGATAAATCATGATTTCAAACTAAATAATCTTTATTTTTATACAGATTGTGTTAGGTGTTATGAGTATACTGTAGAAGCATGAATATAAATTGGCAAATCAAATAAAATCACAAGGACGGAATTTATGTTTTATAATTACGCAAATTTACGCAAAAAATATGAGTTTTATTGCTTTAAATTTATGCAAAATTTGCGTTTAAGGAGAATATAGGCAAGATATCACAGCAATATATAATTATGTCAAGAATATTCATTTTCTTGACGGCACTTTTATATTTCAATTTCTGGACGTATTTTCTTAGATTGCATTTGTCTTTTTTTTTAAACTGCACTTTCCTTTTTATTGTAGTTTTTTGAAGCTCATCACCTCACACTGTACAATGTACGATGTACAGATTATGGTTGACGAATATATTAGTATTTGTGTTAAAGGACTTTATATTTACAGTTTGTCTTTTCTCATTCAAAACAGGTTCTATTTCAGATTTAATGGTATATAAGGTGGCATACGTTGAGATTAACGTTCTGATATTATTTTATCGGGGGTCTGGATTAATAAATCATGTTTTTCTGGATCAGGATTAGCTAATCCGGTTCTCAGGTTCTCTATTTATCTTGAGGTTTAAAGATTTTATGTCCTGAGCTGTTTTGTCGTTCATACTTGTAAGGCGAGTCTGAAGTATAAACCTTGCTGGCGGGGCAGCTGTGCTGGTGATAATCCTGAGCATAGGTTGACCCTAAGGAACCAGCCACACCCCCAGATAGGATTGAAGATTCCGCCCAGGTTTTCCTTTTCCCTGGGGACACACGTTCGTATCGTGCTTCACCACCGATCTAAAAAAAATGTGAATAAATTTGAAATTAAAGTTGAAATCCAAAAATTGAGGTTTCAAAAATATTAATTCTCAATTTTGTTTTACCTGTGACTGTCCTCTATAGCTTTGTTGAGCAGTGCTTAGGTAGGTTGTAGAGGTTGAACTTGCAAGCTGTTGCTGCTGCTGCCGGCTGCTACTGCTACTGGATACGATTTGCCGCTGTTGTTTGCTGCTTGAGATCAGCTGCTGTTGTTTAGAAGTTGAGCTGGAGGATTGATAAGCAGCTCTGCTCCCTGTTTCCTGAGAACTAAAAGCAGCTGAACTTCGACCTGAAGCTTCCGCGTTAGTTCTCGCTTCAGATCTGCGTCCTACCAGACCACTGGAATATTCATAATCTCGACCTCCGTAGGCGGCAGTTCTTCCTGTATGCGCTACTAGTTCAACTGCTCCACTTCTACCTCCTTCTCCTCCTCCCCATCCACCGCCCCAACCTCCTCCTCCACCTCCTCCTCCTCCACTATATTCATTTCGTTGTTTCTGTAGAGACTGTTTCCTATGATGTTCAATAACAGATATTTCCTTCTGCTGACCAACAGCTTGTGAGCTGCTCTCCCTGAGACTGCTTGCAAACTTGTCTGTGTTAACCGCTGTTATAATAGAGGACACTTCCTTGGATTGAACTAGAGCTCCGGCAACAGCAGAGGATACATTGGTTCTAGTAGACTGGGAGCTGGAATTAACACCAGACCTGGATTCTTGAACTGTACTGGATGCCTTTACTGCAGATTTGGCAGCTTGCTGGGATGTACTTGTCATCTGTACTTGTGTTTTAGAACTAGAGCTAGCGGCGTGGGCTGCAAATTGTTGTGATGTACTAGAAGCTTGCACTGCAGATTGATGAGATCTACTGGTTGAGGCACCCTGAGCCGAAGCTGAACTCTCAACCTTGGAGGAAGCATTAACTCTAGAGGTTGAAGCTACTGAAGAATCATCTCCAATACAAATATTAGATTTATCTCGTGTCTCTCCTCTACGTGAACCTGTAGACGCACTTGACATTCTTCTTGAACTGGAAGCTTCTTTAACCCTTCCTTCGAAGGAGCCTTCCATCTTGAGGTTATCCTCTCTCTTGACAATGCCGAACCTTTCTCCTTTCATTACAGTAGCTTCCTGTCTTTTCATGTTCATGCTTCCTTCAAGACGGAGATTATCCTGGTGCTTCACTACAGCTGCCTTCTCTGCTTTATCCAGGATAAACGTTTGGTTTAGAGAACTCCGGTTCTCCATTCTTCCTTCAACCTTGAGATTATCTGCATGCTTGATGACAGATGATCTCTCTACGTGATCATGCTTGACATAGTCTTGAGATTTTCCTGTAAAAATTACAAAATATAGTGTCTAAAATATCACATGAAAATTCATTCTTTTTTAGCTGCTATCGTTTCAATTATTAAATTTAGGCATTTTTTCCTTTTTTAGTTTTATAAAAAAATATTTGACTTTTACAAAATACCTATAAAAGAAATTGAGTTAAATTTAAATCTTCTAATGTCTATAGCTTTGCAACCTGATTGTGTACAAATTTGATTATTAAAACTAAGGCTATTTGATCTAAAAAAAATGTACAGTTTGAAATATCTAAAGTCATACTGCATTGGGTTGCAAAGCTATAGGAATTAAACAATAAGAGTTTGTGGCAAAGACTCGAATTCCTTTTCAGTTGAAATAGTTTCAATTCTTAATAAAGGAATTGAGTCTTTGCTACAAACTCTGCTTTTCTAAATCCCATATCTTTGAATTCCAATGTCGTAGACCTAAGATATTTCAAACTATGAATTCTGTTAGATCAAATAATATAAGTTTGAAATATCAAAGATTTACGACATTGGATTCCAAAGATAAAGGGATTATAAAATCAGAGTTTGTGACAAAGACTTAATTCCTTTAGGAATTTTTTCATTTAAAGTTTTCCAATAATTTATTTTTTTGATTTTTATAAAACACCTGTAAATTCTCCCTCAACTCTTAAATTATCTGCATGTTTCTTGGTTGCCATTCTCTCCCCTGTTACAGCCCAATCCTTCCTATGGGATTCTATACCTCCTTGCGTATGCAGATTATCAGAGTGTTTCACAACTGCTGCTCTTTCTCCTTTTCCAACAGCAGTTGAAGTTTCCCTGCCCTGTAAGGATCCAGCCTCAACCCGGAGATTATCCGTGTGACGGATAACCGAGGCACGTTCTCCACTTGTTGCAAAACTCTTTTTGTTTGAGTAAAACTCTCCAGAGTTATGCAGGTTATCACTGGCCTTCTTAATCTCCGCTCTTTCACCCTGAGTTGCCCATTCCGTCCTTCCCATCTGCATACTTCCTTCTAGTTTCAGATTATCAGCATGTCTCACTTGACTCATCCGTTCTCCTTTCTCCCACTTCTGTTCCTGTCTTCCAGTAAACTTTCCTTCAACATGAAGATTATCCTTATGATGAACTTGTTGTGTTCTCTCAGCTGCAACAAATGTTTGCTTTTCTTTCTTAGCAAACTCTCCCTCCATCCGGAGATTATCCTGATGTTGGACAATATCAGTTCTCTCTCCTCTAGTAGCATAATCCTGCCTGGAGTAGTCAACCTTACCATCCAGGTATAGATTATCAGGATGCTTCGCCACCTCACTCCTTTCTCCTCTAGTCGCCCATTCTTGTCTGGATACATTAAGTTCTCCGTCAACGTGGAGATTGTCATTATGTCGGACAATCTTAGCTCTCTCTCCGGGACTCCAAACCTGAGCAGGTCTAGTTTCCATCCTACCCTCGGGTTTGAGATTGTCTCCTCTTCTCACTACCGGAGCTCTGTCTCCAGGACTCCATCCTTGAACAGATTTACCGGAGAAAGTTCCCTCCATCTTTAAATTATCTTCATGATGAACAATTGATGCTCTCTGCCCGACTTGCCATGTTTGGGCCTCGCGTCCAACAAACTTTCCTTCAATCTTTAAATTGTCATCCCGTCTCACTACCTCCATTCTCTCTCCTGGAGCCCATCTCTCCGCTGGTTTACGCTCAAAATCTCCTTCTGGATGAAGATTATCAGATCTTTTAACCATAGCAGCACGTTCTCCAGGTGCCCAGGATTCAACAACACGTTTACTAAACTCACCCTCAACCTGGAGATTATCTGTATGTTTCACAACCTCTGATCTTTCTCCCATAGAGAACAAGGAGCTTTGCTTCTGAGCGAATTCTCCTTCCATCCTTAGATTGTCAGAATGTTTGATGATACCGTAGCGCTCCCCTTGTACATAGTTTTCGGTTTTTCGTCCTGTAAACTCACCTTCTACCCTCAGATTATCCTGGTGATGTTTTACAGATACTCTTTCTCCAGGAGCCCAGGTTTGATCAGGTCTCTTCTGGAACTCTCCTTCAGGTTGAAGATTATCATCTCTCTTGACAATATTTGCTCTTTCTCCAGGAGCCCAGGTTTGATCAGGTCTCTTTTGAAACTCTCCTTCAGGTTGAAGATTATCTCCTCTCTTGACAATATTTGCTCTTTCTCCAGGAGCCCAGGTTTGATCTGGTCTCTTCTGGAACTCTCCTTCAGGTTGAAGATTATCTCCTCTCTTGACAATATTAGCTCTTTCTCCAGGAGCCCAGGTTTGATCAGGTCTCTTTTGAAACTCTCCTTCAGGTTGAAGATTATCATCTCTTTTTACAATATTTGCTCTTTCTCCAGGAGCCCAGGTTTGATCAGGTCTCTTCTGAAACTCTCCCCTCATGTGCAAGTTATCTCCCGGTATGTTAACGGGTGCACGATCGCCTAAAATAAAGAAATAATGTTTTCGTCACAAACACTGATTTTCTATATCTTTGCTACCAAATTTCATAGACCTTTGATATTTCAAACTATGAATTTTTTAAGATCAATTAATCAAAGTTTGAAATATCAAAGCTTTACACCATCAGGTTTCAAATATATAAGGATTAGAAAATTTGAGTTTGCGAATACTTTATGTTTTAACATCAGGTAATTAAATCTGTTTAATGTATTTTTTTTGATTAGCTCAGCAATTTAAGTTTGCATGAAGTGTGCAAAAAATATTTGCAAAGTATGGTGTGTGAAATAAATAAAACTTAAAAGTGCATTTAAAAATAATCGATCTTCGTTATGTTATGCGTTACAATAGAATCTAAACTCCTTGATTCTATTTGGCAAACATCTGCTAAAAAACTCAGCAAAGAGGGCTGTACGCATTTTCTATGATTTATCTTTTTCCATTACAATAGGTGACTTGAAAATTGAAAATTAAATATTGAAAATTTCTATTCTAAAACCGTTTCTTATTGGTCGTAATACACATCTGACAAAAACCTGGAATCTGATTGGATGCGAAAAATTTGATAAACCCCATTTTTCTATCCAATGGCGTTTTATCCACCTTTAACAGGACTTGTGCCCTTCATTTCAAGCAGTAGCTAGACAAAGCAATTGAGTATTTGCCACAAACTCAAATTTTCTAGTACCTATATCTTAATATCCTGATGGCGTAAACCTTTGATATTTCAAACTTAGATTATTTGATCAAACAGAATTCATAGTTTGAAATATCTAGGGTCTACGACGTTGGGTTGCAAAGATGTAGGGATTAGAAAATCTCAGTTTGTGGCAAGACTCAATTCCTTTAAGGTTAAATTTAAACCCCCTATTCTGTGTTCTTGGCAAAAAGGTCCTTAAACTACAAAGCTGAGATTTAATTGTATAAAAAGAAGTAAAGAGGGAAGGTGAGGAGGGGTCCTTGAGCTTTATCGTTAGTAAAACCAATTTTCAACCAATAAATAAAGCATTTTAAATTAAGCACTTTTTTACTTCTTTGTCGGACTATAGCAATAGTTGCGACGAGTATATCTATATATAAATTTGGCTTGTCTGTCTGTTTGTATCCAATAAACGTCAAAACGGCTGAACCGATCGGGCCCAAATTTTTTGTGGGACATCTAGGGACCCCAGGGAAGGTTTATGAATGATCAAAATTTTAAATATTTGTCTCCATCAAAATTCGATCGTCATTAAATTTTTGAAAATTTTGAAAATCCGCGAAATTCTTTGTGAAAATCCGCGAATTATTTTTGTTTTGTTTTACGATGTACACAAAGAGAACATGTTCACAATATTAATTTAGAAGATGGGCGCGAAGCTCCCTCTAAGGCTAGTATTCTAAATATAACGTATTTAATTTGACAGATTTCAAATTAGAGATTAAAATATGTCTGAATTGTTGTAGTTAGTTTTTACGTGTGAAGGAGTAAGATTGGAACGAAAAAACAATTGAAATAAAATTACGAAAATTAGTAAATGAATTAAATCATGCAAAAAATCTATATTTCATAAACATGCTTTTAGTACCCAATAACAAATGCATGCACAATAAATACACTAAAAATATATTGAATATATAATTAACAAGAATACCTTAAAGCACTTCCTAAATACACAAAACTATCATGCTACGAAGGGAATGTTCTAAAAAGTCTGATCAAATCCAACTTTTGGTAAAAGTTAGCATATCTAAATATGATAGAGAACATTCCCTTTTACATATCCCACTTTACCTCTACTACACATACAGATTATTAGACCAGAAAGTAGGATTGATTGATTGATTAATTGTTGCTCCTTGAAATTAAACAAATTAGAGCGTGATCTATGGAGCTGAGTTTGGTGTTAGTGAAGTGTATCTACCTGAAACCCCACCACCTGGCAATAAATGATCAACTCTCTTTACAGCAACCACTTTTTCAGCAGGACTCCATGTTTGAATAGGTCTCTTCTGAAACTCTCCCTCCAAAAATAAATTATCTCCTCTTTTTATTATGTTAGCTCGCTGTCCCGCATGCCAAGATCTTAGAGGTCTTTTTTGAAAATCTCCTTCAGTTTTCAAATTATCTTCTTTCTTGACGATATTTGCTCTTTCTCCGGGAGCCCAGGTTCGATCTGGTCTCTTCTGGAACTCTCCTTCAGGTTGAAGATTATCATCTCTTCGAACAATATTTGCTCTTTCTCCAGGAGCCCAGGTTTGATCAGGTCTCTTCTGGAACTCTCCTTCAGGTTGAAGATTATCTCCTCTCTTTACAATATTTGCTCTTTCTCCAGGAGCCCAGGTTTGATCAGGTCTCTTCTGGAACTCTCCTTCAGGTTGAAGATTATCTCCTCTCTTGACAATATTTGCTCTTTCTCCAGGAGCCCAGGTTTGATCAGGTCTCTTCTGGAACTCTCCTTCAGGTTGAAGATTATCTTCTCTCTTTACAATATTAGCTCTATCTCCCGGAGCCCAGGTTTGATCAGGTCTCTTTTGGAACGCTCCTTCAGATTGGAGATTATCTCCTCTCTTTACAATGTTTGCTCTTTCTCCAGGAGCCCAGGTTTGGTCTGGTCTCTTCTGGAATTCACCTTCAGGTTGAAGATTATCTCTTTTCTTGACAATATTTGCTCTTTCTCCAGCAGCCCAGGTTTGGTCTGGTCTCTTATGGAACTCTCCTTCAGGTTGAAGATTATCTCCTCTTTTTAGAATATTAGCTCTTTCTCCGGAAGCCCAAGTTTGATCAGGTCTCTTCTGGAACTCTCCTTCAGGTTGAAGATTATCTCCTCTCTTAATATTTGCTCTTTCTCCAGGAGCCCAAGTTTGATCAGGTCTCTGAGCCCAAGTTTGATCAGGTCTCTTCTGGAACTCTCCTTCAGGTTGAAGATTATCTCCTCTCTTGACAATATTTGCTCTTTCTCCGGGAGCCCAGGTTTGATCTGGTCTCTTCTGGAACTCTCCTTCAGGTTGAAGATTATCTCCTCTCTTGACAATATTAGCCCTTTCCCCAGGAGCCCAGGTTTGGTCAGGTCTCTTCTGGAACTCTCCTTCAGGTTGAATATTATCATCTCTTCGAACAATATTTGCTCTTTCTCCAGGAGCCCAGGTTTGATCAGGTCTCTTCTGGAACTCTCCTTCAGGTTGAAGATTATCTCCTCTCTTTACAATATTTGCTCTTTCTCCAGGAGCCCAGGTTTGATCTGGTCTCTTTTGGAACTCTCCTTCAGGTTGAAGATTATCCTCATGTTTAACAATCTCTGCTTTCTCTCCTAAAATGCGATGTTAGCATGCAGTTTGTTAATTGTTTTAGTTTTGTTAGAAAAGAAGGAATAGCAATTAAGAATATTATTGTATGATGCATGCATCGATATAAGTTCCTGGTGTTTTAGATACTAATCCCTGGTTTCCTTGATAATAAACCCTGATAAACTAATTAATAAAACCTGGGCTCCTTAATACTAAACCCTAGTGTCCTAGAAACTAAACCCTGATGTGTTAGTTACTAATTTCTGGTAATTAGATACTAAACCTTGGTGTCTTTGATTCTAAAACCTGGTGTACTAGATACTAAACCCTTATATACTAGTTACTAAACTCTGGAAATTAGATACTAAACCCTGGTGTCTTAGATTCTAAAACCTGGTGTACTAGATACTAAACCCTAGTGTTCTAGAAGCTAAACCCTAATATACTATTTACTAAAGTCAGATATAGTAGTAGGATGATATCCCAGAAAGAGGATTATAAAATCCGCAAATGAGTAATTTCTAGAAGCATTAATGTACTTCTAAAGTGGTGACCCTGACATGTACTTCTAAAATATATTAGATATTGAAGTTTGTTCTATTAGATAGTTACTAAACCTCTGTATACGACCCTAGGGAGGGAAGGTGCTCCAAATCAGTTTCTTTTCCGGAGCACAATAATTTCTCTTCCAGAATTTAATTTGCTGTTTAATTTACTTTTTCTTCCAAATTTGAACAACGTTAAGACATTCATAATGTTTTGAACTTGTTTGTGACTTACGATGTTAAAAAATTAAGTTGTTTTTCGTGGAAAAACAATAAAAAAAATCAAGAGAATTGAAGTCACAAAACGGAACTCAGTAAGTTCTCTGATTGGCTTGACTACATTTCTTTTTGATCAAATTGAGCCTCAGATATAAAAAACAGCATATGAAGAGGGGGGGAATTGAAATGTAGAAAAAATTCGACTTAGTCACAACATACCAAACCCTGGTAACCTAGATACTATTCCAACTCCATCGTATTATAATTCCTGGTATCTAGATACTAAACCCTTAATCCTAGAGACTAATCTCTGTTATATTACATCCTATAAACTAAACTCTGATATCATATAACCATTTCAACAACATACTAAACCCAAATTTCGAGAAATCAAACACCTCCCCCGCCCCCACCCCACTATCTACTATATTCTTCTACATAATTAATTAACCCTTTAAAATGAATACAACCCAAAGCCGAATCTTTGTTTATCTTTCCTTTACAACACGAAAACAATTTTAATTAGTAAATTAGTAATATTGCATCATACTTTTTCATACATGTTAAACCTTAGGGATTATCCAGAATAAAGAACTAAAAATCCCAATGTAAAATTCTATTCCCGTCATACCTACAATATTTGCTCTTTCTCCAGGAGCCCAGGTTTGATCAGGTCTCTTTTGGAACTTTTCTTCAGGTTGAAGATTATCATCTCTTCGAACAATATTAGCCCTTTCTCCTGGTGCCCATTTTTCTGGCGATCGCTTTATAAATTCTCCTTCTGCTCTAAGGTTATCATGAGGTCTCACAACATTTGCTCTATCTCCTGGTGACCATTTCCCTTCAAGTCTCTTTTCAAAGTCTCCCTCTATTCTAAGGTTATCGGGTTGTTTAACAAAGGAAGCTCTTTGTCCTGGGGCCCAGGTTTCAACTGATTTTTTGTAGAAATCTCCCTCCATCACTAGATTATCACTTTGTAAAATCTTTTCAGCTCTAACTCCTTCTACCCATCTAGCTTCATCTCTACTCTGGAAAACTCCTTCTAGTTTTAGATTATCACTTCTTCTTACCAAATCTGCTCTTTCTCCAGGAGCCCAGGTTTGATCAGGTCTCTTCTGGAACTCGCCTTCAGGTTGAAGATTATCTCCTCTCTTGACAATATTTGCTCTTTCACCAGGAGCCCAGGTTTGGTCAGGTCCTTCTGGAACTCGCCCTTCAGGTTGAAGATTATCTTCTCTCTTCACTATATTTGCTCTTTCTCCAGGAGCCCAGGTTTGATCAGGTCTCTTCTGGAACTCTCCTTCAGGTTGAAGATTATCTCCTCTCTTGACAATATTTGCTCTTTCTCCTGAATATTTTGTATTACATGCAGATTCTCTAACTAAGGTAATACAGTAACAATAAAATCTATTAATCTTGCAAATTTTTTTCGAGCATTTTTATATTTTTATCATAACCAGAACTAATATTTTATATAACCTGGCATAAAATAGGCAATATTAGAATTTGTCTCATTAAAAACCAATGAAGCTAAGGTTTGATTTTGTACATGGAAGCGTTATTATGTAAAGATTTGAATGGACACTTTAGAGTTACTTTTGGTTGCTATTAGTTTTACACATGCAACTACCAACAAATTTTTTTCATCCAGATGGAATACAAATATTTATTTGGATCTTTTTGATAAGCTATTTAAAGATATTTCTACCAATATAAAGTCCATTTTTAAATATATATCATGTTGAAAAAATATAATAGTAGAATATGACAAAGAAAGAAGATTTTTTTAATTGTTAATATTGTCAAAATTTATGATCACTTTAGAGTGTTTCATAAAGGTTTAAGAAAATTTGACAAAGCAGATATATGATGGGTTGAGAGGAAGGTTGTATATCAAGCTTGATGCCTCTCAATGCGTTAATGTACTTTCAGCATTTAGAGAAAATTTAAATGATTTCTCTAATTAAACTGAGTAGTTTTAAATTTCAAACCGTAATGTACACATTATTTACGATAAAAAGAAAAAAAGACAGTTTTTTCAAAATATTTGAAAATTCATCTTAAAAAATATTGTACAATATACAGTTTAAAGCCTTAATTGTCAAAGCAAAATCCCACCGTAGTGGACATTGTACATTTTAAAAGCATTCTTGGTTCAAAAGATTTGTAATTATAATCAACCAATTTAACATAAAATGTAAAATTAAAGAAGCTATATTCAGAAGTTCAGGATTTACTTTATACTTAAACTGGTGTAAACTGCAGTATAATAACCTAAAACAATTAAAAGAGAAAAAATAAAAGCTAAGATTGTTAGGTTTTGACAAAAGAGAAGACAAAAGTACTTACCAGGAGCCCAGGTTTGGTCTGGTCTCTTCTGGAATTCTCCTTCAGGTTGTAGATTATCTCCTCTCTTGACAATATTTGCTCTTTCTCCAGGAGCCCAAGTTTGATCAGGTCTCTGAGCCCAAGTTTGATCAGGTCTCTTCTGGAACTCTCCTTCAGGTTGAAGATTATCTCCTCTCTTGACAATATTTGCTCTTTCTCCAGGAGCCCAAGTTTGATCAGGTCTCTTCTGGAACTCTCCTTCAGGTTGAAGATTATCATCTCTTCGAACAATATTTGCTCTTTCTCCAGGAGCCCAGGTTTGATCAGTTCTCTTCTGGAACTCTCCTTCAGGTTGAAGATTATCATCTCTTCGAATAATATTTGCTCTTTCTCCAGGAGCCCAGGTTTGATCAGGTCTCTTCTGGAATTCTCCTTCAGGTTGAAGATTATCTCCCCTTTTTACAATATTTGCTCTTTCTCCAGGAGCCCAAGTTTGATCAGGCCTTTTCTGAAACTCTCCTTCAGGTTGTAGATTATCTCCTCGCTTGACAATATTTGCTTAGCTCTTTCTCCAGGAGCCCAGGTTTGGTCAGGTCTCTTCTGGAACTCTCCTTCAGGTTGAAGATTATCTCCCCTCTTTACAATATTTGCTCTTTCTCCGGGTGCCCATTTTTCAGGAGTTCGTCTTAGAAAATCTCCTTCTGGATGAAGGTTGTCTCCTCGTTTAATCAAATCTGCTCTTTCTCCGGGTTGCCAGGTTTCTGGGATTCTCTTTAAGAAGTCTCCCTCAGATCTTAAATTATCTCCATGTTTGATAACCTTAGATCTCTCTCCAGGTGCCCAAACTTCCTCAGGTCTTTTCTCAAAGGTTCCTTCAAGTCTCAGATTATCATTTCGTTTGACTTGCTCAGCCCTCTCTCCGGGTGCCCACTTATCAGGGGTTCTACGGAGAAACTCACCCTCTGGATACAAATTATCCCCTCGCCTGACCATCTCAGATCTTTCGCCTAAAAAAGAATAAATAAAGAGGGTAAACTAGAGTTTTGATAATTATTTACTTTTTATTGATGTATATTTCTATATCTATTTATATACATGTTTGTTTATTGTTGGTACAGTACACTTAAAAACGCTAAAACAATTGGGACTTTTTTTGTGTGACCTGTGGACGGTCAAAATCATTTTTGCCTTCAAAAATGTTTCTAAATAAAGATTTTAAAGGTTTCATATTAAAGCAGAAAAATCTACGAAATCTTTAATTGTTATGTGTTTGAAGGAATTGAGTCTTAGTTATAAAATCTGATTTTCTAATCCCTATATCTTTGCAACCCAATTTCGTAGACCTTAGATATTTCAAACTGAAAATTTTGTTGAATCATATCGTCTAAGTTTAAAATATCAAAGGTTTCCACCATCAGCTTACCAAGATAAAGAGATTAGAAAATTCGAATTTGTGTTAAAACTCAAATCCTTTACGAAGGTAAACAATAAAACAATGAAAAGCTAAGAAAGAGGGAATGTGCCTTTTTAGATATGCTTACCTGGAGCCCATGTTTCCTTAGGTCTCTGATCAAAATCTCCATCAGGTTTTAGATTGTCACTTCTCCGCACTACTGTAGCCCTCTCTCCTGGAGCCCATTTCTCTGGAGCTCGACTGATAAAAGATCCTTCTTGTTTTAGATTATCATTGGGTTTCACCACCGATGCTTTATCCGCTGGTTGCCACACTCCTTCTAATCTTTTCTGGAAATCTCCTTCCATTCGAAGATTATCATCTCTTCGCACAACAGGGGCTTTCTCTCCGACCTTCCACTCCTCCTTGTTCCGTCGGAGAAATTCTCCTTCTATTCGTAGATTATCATCATGCCTGACAATATTTGCTCTTTCTCCGTTATGCCATGTTTGTTCTTGTCTTTTTTCAAAATTTCCTTCCATCTTCAGATTGTCATGTCTAGTTATAATTTCAGCCTTTTCTCCAGGTTTCCAGGTTGACACTGGTCGTCTATCAAAATCTCCCTCGGGTTTGAGATTGTCTCCAGGTCTAATAATTCCAAACCTATCTCCAGGTTGCCAAGTTTCAAGTTGTTTCTTTTCAAATTCTCCTTCCAGGTTCAAATTATCCTGTCTGCGGACAACCTGAGCCCGTTCTCCAGGTGCCCATTTATCCTGAGATCTCTTCTGAAACTGTCCTTCAATCTGGAGATTGTCAGCTCGTTTTACAACCTGTGTCCTCTCTCCGGGTTGCCAGCTTTCCACAGATCTTTTCTCAAAGGAACCTGTTAAATAATATTTATTTAAAAAATAATGTAAAAAAAAATTTATTAAGAATTTAGCTGGATAATAAATTACCTTCGTTTTTAAGATTATCAGCATGTTTAATCACATCCATTCTTTCTCCAGCATGCCATTCTGCTTTCTCAGTTCTAGAGAATTCTCCTTCCAAGTATAGATTATCTGATCTTCTAACTATCTGAGCTCTCTCTCCAGCATGCCATTCTTCCTGGGCTCGTCCGGTAAAATCTCCTTCAACTCGGAGATTATCCATCCTATGAACGATTTCTGCCCTTTCTCCGGCTGTTGCCCAGACCTGCCTTGAACCTTCCATGGTTCCAGTATTAGTTTTCAGATTATCCTCTCTTCTCACAGCTGTAGATCTCTCACCAGCAACATATTCAGGTAATTCTCTTCTACTAAACTCTCCGTCAGGTTTTAAGTTTTCTTGAGGTTTAGTGATTACTGCTCTGGATCCAGGTTGCCATTCTTCAATCTTCTTTCTCTCGAACTCTCCTTGCAGTTTAAGGTTATCTTGATGTTTTACTGTATCCGCTCTAACACCTGTGGAAGCCCACTCTTTAGTTGAATAATCTACTTCACCTTCACTTCGGAGATTATCTGAATGTTTTATCACAGTTTGTCGATCTCCTTGTTCCCACTTCTCCACTTTTCTCTTCTCAAAATCACCTTCTAGGGTTAAGTTATCGTGTCGTTTCACGATATCTGCTTTCTCTCCTTTGTGCCATTCTTCTCTTTTCCTGGATTGAAAATCTCCCTCCACATGAAGATTATCCTCGTGTCTCCGTATCTCTGCTATCTCTCCTGTCTGATACGTTTCAGTTCTCCGTCCCTGCATAGATCCCTCTAGGTGGAGATTATCCTCATGTTTTACTATCTCAGACCTTTCTCCGGCCTGGAAAGATTGATGCTCTCTAGATTGAAACTCCCCCTGCACCTGGAGATTGTCAGATCTTCTCACAGCTTTACTCCGTTCTCCTGGAGCCCAAGCCTGTAAACACGTAAACAAATCATTCATAAACACTATCAATATTTAGAAAAATTGCTACCTTTGTTACTGTAATTTTTTACCTGTGTTTCTTTAATTGCTACCTGTTTTTCTGTAATTGCTGCCTGTGTTTCTGTAATTACTATTTGTGTTTCTTTAATTACTATTTGTGTTTCTTTAATTATTTTTTTGTGTTTCTGTAATTACTATTTGTGTTTTTGTAATTACTATTTGTGTTTCTTTAATTATTTTTTGTGTTTCTGTATTTACTATTTGTATTTCTGTAATTACTATTTGTGTTTTTGTATTTACTATTTGTGTTTCTTTAATTATTTTTTGTGTTTCTGTAATTACTATTTGTGTTTCTGTAATTACTATTTGTGTTTCCGTTATTGCTATTTGTGTTTCTGTAATTGCTATTTGTGTTTCTGTAATTACTATTCGTGTTTCTGTAATTGGTATTTGTGATACTGAAATTGCTACCCGTGTTACTGAAACTGCTACCTGCGTTTCTGAAATTCCTACCCGTGTTACTGAAATTGCTACTTTTTCATATATGCGTTTTTGCTTCCTGCGTTTCTGTAATTGCTACCTGTGTTCCATGAATTACTACCTGTGTTCCATGAATTACTACATGTGTTCCATGAGTTACTACCTGTGTTCCATAAATTACTACATGTGCTCCATAAATTACTACCTGTGTTCCTTGAATTACTACCTGTGTTCCATGAATTACTACCTGTGTTCCATGAATTACTACCTGTGTACCTTGAATTACTACCTGTGTTCCAGGAATTACTACCTGTGTTTCTGGAATCTCGAACTGTCCCTCTGGATACAGATTATCCTTGTGTCGAACTATCTCAGCTCTCTCCCCAGAGGTTGCGTACTCCTTCCTTACTCCTCTAAACATATACGATATATAAGACCAAAGATATATAAACTTATGTAGATTGGACAGAAAATAAACATTACAGAAAATAAAATGCGCCGTTGGATGTTGTTCTATTGCGTACATCTAAATACAAATCGTACTGCAAAGATAAACAAACTCTTGTTGGGCTTTAAAAATTGTTGTGAATCGTATAGAATGGTTTCCATTTTTTATTTATTTATTTAATATCTATTCTTATCATTTATTCATTTTATTTACTCATAATCTAATTCATAAACAAACTGTGCACGTAGATAAAAAAAAATATCAATAAAGCAGGAAAATCTGAGAATGTACTGCAAAGACATAACAAAATCAAAACACTTATCAATCAGCGACACGAAGCGCTCTGGAAGAAAGTATCATTATTATTTAGTTGTAAAATCCCACCTTATTTCTCCCTCTAATCTCAGATGATCTGTTTGTTTAATGGCAGCAGATCTCTCAGCAGCAGTATACTCATGATATTGTCTGCTCTCAAAATCTCCCTCGGGTTTCAGATTATCTCCGTGTCGAACCATTGGAGCCCGATCTCCCTTAAGATTGGAGGGAGCTTTATCTCTTGTATCCTCTATAGGACCTGGAGGAAGGAGATTATCCCGATGTTTCACCAAGGCGGCCCTTTCTCCGGGTTCCCATTTCTCAGGAACCTTTCGGATAAAGTCACCCTCAATCCTAGAAAATAAAATTAAGTTTTTGCCACAAACTTAAAATCTCTAATCCCTTAATCTTTGCAACCTGGTAATGTAAACCTTTAATATTTCAAACTTGTTTAACTGATTTAACTGAATTTATAGTTTAAAATATATTCAGGTCTACTAGATTGGGTTATAGGATAAAGGGATTGAAAATCAAAGTTTGTGGCGAATACTCAATTCCTTTTGAATGATTAGTTCAATTTAATTAAAGAAAATAAGAATAAAAAAGAAAAAAAGATGATTGACAACGACCTAAAACCAACCTTAGGTTATCTTGTCTCCTAGTAACTACAGCCCTATCTCCTACTACTGCAGTATAATCCTCGTTATATCCTCTCCGTCCTTCCATCTCTCCTTCAACCCGGAGATTATCATCATGTCGTCGAACCTCAACCCTCTCCCCGGCCTCACCCCTGTAATCATCCATCTGTTGGGTTTGAAAATGCATATCTCCGTCCTGCTTGGTCCAGGTTCGGCGTCGGACGAGTTTAGGTTTATCCGTCCTAACTTCTCCATACTCGTTTCCAGTAGTAGTTTCAAACTCAAGCTCTCCGTCCACAGCAAGATGGTCTAGAGATAATACATATTTTAGATATAGTAATAGTAATCTAATCTTACATAACGGTGTAGCTTTGTATTCAACTGAAGTTAGTGCATGAAGTAGCTAGCGGATTTATAAAGACAATTATTAGGAAATTAGCGGACTTTTTTAAATAAAGAAAAAAGAAGATTTTTTCCTTGTTGATACTCATATAAGCAGCTATTTAAATGAAGGGTTAATAAAAATTAAGTTTTTATTCCCTTTGAGATGTATACCCCCCCCCCCCCTCGACCGACCTAATTATTCCATAGTAAAAACTTGTTCACCGAATTATTCCCTTGCATGTTGTTCAACCTTTTGCAGAACGTAAATAATAGTTTTTATCAGATTTCTCAATCTTAACCGTTCAACCCTGCAGGTTTAAGAATTGTTTGGCGCATATTTATCCATTTTATTTCCCGTTAACCTAGTTCTCTTTCATTCAACTTTAACCTGACAGTGCAGTTGATGAAAATACATAACTTTGAAACTATTTTGAGATTAAGTTTAAGTTGAACAAACTTTTGATACTTATCAGGTTGAAATTTACTTTTTCTAGCATTTTTTGCAATTTAAGATAAAATTGCTTTTATGTTATTCTATTTTCACGAAATACTGACCTTTCAATAATCGATATATCTTTGCAACCTGCTGAATTCTATTTGATTTAGCAGAAAATAAACGGCACTGCAAACCATGCAAAAAATAAAGCAGTATTTTGCCATTTACTGCTTTTAAGCTCAAGATAGAAAAAACCCGCTGCATTTTGCAATGTATATGTTTAGGGCTGCAAATATGTATAATTAAGACCAAAAGCCACGTTGTTACAATTTCAAGTCGAGATTGTCTAAAAATGACTAACATTCAGAGTTGTATGTTTTAGAGTGAATTGGTAGACGAAGTACTAGGTCAAGTTGTAAAGATATATTTTTTTTAAAAATTTGGGAGAAAAAGCTAGAAAAGAAATTACCCGAATGTTTCCTAATCACTGATGGAGACATGGTTTTTTGAACCTTACTCCGGATAATCTTGCCTCCCACCAACCTTACATTCTCCTCCTGGTTCCAATCCCTACTCACCAACCTACACAATTTTCTGTTTATCCCTGAACTTTGGAGCCATCGATAGAATTTATAAAATGTCGTCTTGCAATTTTCAATGGTTTTTATACTCCTATACCTAAATCTCAGTAATAATAAGAATAAATAAATAGCCATGAAAGAAATTGAGTCTTTGGAACAAAATCAAATATTTAAAACACAATATCTTTAGAACTCGATATTGTAAACCTTTGATATTTCAAACTCTTGATTACTTGATCTAACAGAATTCATAGTTTGAAATATCTAAGGTATGCAACATTTGGTTCCAAAGATTTAGTGATTAGAAAATCAGAGTTTGTGGCAAAGACTCAATTCCTTTGCGGAAACAGGTTAAAAAATCTTCATATAATTATTCAATTAAAAACAAAATATATGGAGCATTTCATTATTAGTAAGACGACATTTACAAATTCTTTTGATGTTTCCAAAGTTCGGGATTAAACTGTACACTGTCGTCAAATATCACGAGTTTTCCAAGTACTCCTTATATACGAAAACACAAAAAAGTTTGTTTTCATGGTGTAAGGTATTTTCTCAAAGGCAATTTCCCAAGTAACAACTTCCCAAATGTGCTATTTCCCAAGCGACAACTTCCCAAAGGTAAGGTTAGGCCTTCTAAGGCGCCGCAGGCTGCAAAAGGGCCGAGCGCTTCGGCTAGAACAGATGAGGGGTTGAGCGCTGCGGCTAGGACAGACTTGGGAAATGGCCGCTCGGGAAATTGCACAGTTAGGAAGTTGCCGCTTGGGAAAAAAACTTTTGGGAGAGTACCATAACATAATTTTCATAGCTCTGTATTATATTTTTTAGGAAACAAATACTTTGAGAGAAAATGCCCTGGATCCAAATCAACGGAATAAATCCTTGAATTATATTTATTAGAAAGTCTTAACTTAAAAAAAATGTTTAAAAATATTTTGAACATTTCTCTCATAATTTTGGCTCAGTTTCCGCTGGTTCTAGAAAAGTTTCTCGAATATGTTTATTATCTTCTCAGAATATAACTTTTAATGTGTTTGTTGAATCAATAGATATTTAATAGTAGTTATACTTTAATAATTATGGCAGGAAACAAAAAAGTACTTTCTCTTTGAACAGTTCCAACTAGGAATCCAATAATCAATATTTGAAAATAAAAGTATAAAAAATAATTGGAAACTTTTAAAGTGATACGAAATATTCCTCTAGTATTATTGGCTTATAGTCATTTGCTCTTTTGACAATTTGCTCCATGGCTAATCAACGTTTGCCCTCTGAAGTATTTGCTTTAAACTATTTGCTCTATAAAATGCGTTACATTGTAGACCAAGAAGGCTATAAAATTTGCCTGAGCGCGGTATAAGGGCAAATAATTTTACGAGCAAATACCGTAGAGAGCAAATGACATAAAAAGAAAATGGCCCTAAGAGCAAATGACGCGATAAAACAAATGAAATTAGAGCAAATAATGTAGTAATAAAGTATACCTAGCATTGCTTGCTTCAGTTGTTAGTGGTCGAGCTGTAGGCGTGGCCTCCTTCCCGCCCCTTGAAGGCGTGTCCCCGTTCTCTTTTGTAAATGTATTTTGTCTAACCACGCCCCTTCCAGTCTGCTCATCTGATTCTAAAATTTGATAAGGTAAATTATTTAATTAATAACATATTGATATTATAAAAGTTTTAAATGATTGCCACGTAATTTAATTCAAATACAGGATATTTGTGAACCAATTTGAGATTCGCATTGAAGTAATAAAATAATAATAATTCTTTTCGTGGCATAATGATAGAAAGTATCGATCTATAGATCTCAGAAAAAATTTTGAGAGCGGTATGATTAATTGGTGTTAATTTTTTTTAAAAATCAGAGAAAAGAAAAAGGAAAATACTTAACGTGAAAATTACTTTGAAAGTTCTTTCAGATATTTGATTATCATATTAAACTAAATTATTTAAAATAATAACTTAATAGAGTTAAAAAGAAACAGATTTTAACGTTTGTAAAAATTAATTAAACCTCGATCATGTTTATGTTTTGTGTATATACTGTAATATAAATAGAATCCATTCATTATGAATAATAAATGGCAAGGTTGGCGCCTCCACTGTGGTCTAGCGAATAATTTTACAATATTTATAGACCAGGTTTGGTCAGGTCTCTTCTGGAACTCTCCTTCAGGTTGAAGATTATCATCTNCCATTCTTTCTAATTATATAAAGTCATCACTTTTTTTAATGAATTCTGGAAAATTTTGAGATAAATACGATTTTAATGGTTTTAATAAAAACTCTAAATTCTCAAACTGTAACAAGTAAGATAAGTGTGAAATTAATCATTTTCAAGACACACCGAAGGCAAAAACCATAGATATACAAGAATATAGATCGCTTATGTCGTCTTCACCATTCTTGTATATCTATGGCGTAAACTTAATCATAAAATAAAAGCCATAATTTCAAATTTTTAAAGAAATTTTTTTTACTTTTGGCATCTTTCTTTGTAAATATATGTTAGATCAAAATGGCATATTTTGGCATCTTTCTTTGTAAATATATGTTAGATCAAAATGGCATATTTTGAAATATCAAAGGGTTTTACCATAAGACTGCAATATATTAGAAAAATTAAATTTTGTATAAGGTTATAATTATAATTTTCATGAATGGGAGGTAAACGTAACAATAGTATAATTGCTTTACAGAAATAAAATATTATATTTCCCCCAAAATCAAAATCTGTAAAACACTTTCTTTGAGGTTTTACTTTTATCATTCAGTTCTCATATTTTTCCATCTCACTTATCGAACTTAATTTTTACAAAATCTGAGTACTGCAGTGATAACCAGAAAACTCTGGAACAGTAGGACAACTGTGATGATCAAGTTTTATCTTAAAAAAGTTCAATGACCTTAAAACAAAGCAATTGTGCAGTGTGAACAGACCCATTTCACAAAATAATTGATAAACTTAAGTATTGCTATAATGTCGTCTTCTTATTCCATTGTTTTCTGGTTATCTCTGTATGCAACCAAATCTTTAAACAAATTATTAGTGAAAAAGTTTTTATTTGTTGAAAAACGCGTGCCACTGTATGCTTATTGGTCATAATCAGTGTAAATCGTCATCTTTGTTGATTTTTCTTCATTATCATAGAAAATTAGGAAACAAATTTGTAAATTGTAACGGTTCTGAACGATATATCGTTAAAAAAAAACTTAAGGGCACATTTTCATGGTTTAAATAGTTACAATTTTACAAATCATATAATTGTTAGTTAGATTTAATAAAGACGACTTTTATTCCGTTTAATTTTGCTAAGCTGAGATCCTCTCTACTATGTCTATCGGTTCTTTTTAGTTTTTTTTTTTATGCCTAATCTGTGTTCTATCTGTGCGTCTTAACAGATTTATTATTATTTCCTGGTTCTTTCTTTAGTTTTAAAATTCTATATTTCCTTTCCTCTCTTTTAAAAATTAGAAAATAAGTCATTAAAAGATTTAATCCCCCCCCCCCCCACCAACCCTTTCCCTTCTCTAGGGGGTAACTTTACTCTTCCGGGTTTAACCCTGATATCTCTGCCATGGTTCCTGGAATACTAAACTTCTAACCTTGCTAGAAAGCTGCCAGGTAATCAATATTTCACGGACATTTCCCCGTGGTTTGAGGGGAACTTGACACTTAGCCGCAAATGTGCATATATATAGACTATACACCACATTTACGCACATCATGCAAGGATTGAAAAAACTTGATACTAACCTAGGCTGGAGATTGCTAACGTGTTCGAAGATTTTCCGGCAAATGTCGTCCCGTATACTGATTTTTCGGAGGAAGACGACATTTCGACCAAGTTTTGGATTTCGGTAGATCTATCCTCCGAAGACGACATATAGGTTGTCCGAGATGAGGATACTTTACCAGTCTGACTGATAGATCCGGATTCGATGACTGAGCTCTCTACAAGCTGAGCCCCTCCTGCTCGTTCTAGAGAATCATCTCGTCTCTGGAGAAGAGATCGGTCGGAGACGACCCTTCCGTCTTTAGACAAAGATCTCCGCTTGACCAGTGGAGAAGTTTCGGCAAGCTGCTGTGATGCTTTCACCAGGTTTGATGATGCTTTCATGGCTTCAGATTGTTTACTCTGGAAGGAAGATTGAACCCCATTTGTAGATGATGAGACTGCCAGGTTTGAGCTGGATATAGCCTGGGACCCAGAGCTCATAGATGAAACCTGAGTCTGCTCCGTAGACTCCATGATGGCACTAGATCTTGTAACTGAAGAAACCTCTGAGGACTGCATTGAAGAACTGCTCTCTTTTATGGCAGAGCTGCTCTTCTGCATCGAGGATTTGCTAGCTTGCATAGTGGAGCTGCTTCCCTGCATGGTCAAGCTGTTGGAGCTACTTTCTTGGACATTGCTCCCCTGCATAAAGGAGTTTTTACTCTGAGCTGAGCTGCTTTCATATTCCGCTGAGTTTTTAACTTGCATAGATGAGCTGCTTTCTTGTATTAAAGAGCTGCTTTTCACGATTGAGGATTTGCTTGCTTCCATAGAGGAGCTGCTTGCTTGTATAGTAGAGCTGCTTCCTTGTATAGAGGAGCTGCTTGCTTGCACAGAGGAACTGCTTGCTTGTATAGTGGAGCTACTAGCTTGCATAGTGGAGCTGCTTCCCTGTAAAGAGGAGCTGCTTGCTTGTAAAGCAGAGCTTTCTGCTGAGAGAGTACTTGAAGATTTAATAGGTCTGAAAGCTGAACTTGAAGAGCCAATTATAACTCCAGATGGTTGGAGAAGTGATCCTGAGGATTGAACAGCTGATTCAGCGGATTGAACAGCTGATCCTGAGGATTGAAAAGTTGATCCAGAGGATTGAACAGCTGATCCTGAGGATTGAAAAGTTGATCCAGAGGATTGCAGAGCTGATCCTGAGGATTGAACAGCTGATCCTGAGGATTGAAGAGCTGATCCTGAGGATTGCACAACTGATCCAGAGGATTGAACAGCTGATCCTGAGGATTGAACAGCTGTTCCAGATAAATAAGCAGCTGATTGCATTGCAGTGCTGGTCGATTCCATGGTTGAACTTGATTCCATTACAGTTGAACTAGATGATTCCATGGTTGAGCTTGATTTAATAACGTTTGATGATTGTGTTGCAGACATTTTTCTTTGCTCAGATTGGAAAATAGCTTCTTTAGCCTCAGCCTAATAATATTAGAAATAGATAAAAATGCTATCAATAATAATATTATTGATAATAATAATATTAATACTACTACTGTTCAAAGAACAACTACTACCTGTGCATGTCTGAGCTGAAAGTTGACCTTCTCTTCCCTGGTCATGACCTGCCCGACTATCCTACCCCGGTCATCCTCCAGAGGTAGGATCTGACTATGCCCGAGCTGACCTGGATTATGCCTGCATCTGTGTCGTCTACAATATTATTAAATTAGATTCAAAGTAAATCAATTTTAAATTGAGAGTAAAGCGTAATTCTATGTGACCCTCTATTTTAGAGTGGCATGTCTGATTCTCAATGGTACCCTAAAAAGCTTAGTCTGATTAAAATGGCTTATGCATTTCGTTAGCAGAAACAATGGAGGATTTGTCACAATACTTAACTAGCTAGAAAAACAAAGATATCTACACAGATCAGATAAATATACGTTTTGGTATAATTTTGAACCAGTTTTATATAAATTTCTCGAGACAGGAACATTAGATAGAACTCTTTTAGGTTTCAATCAACTCCTGAGATTCTCAGGTTTCAGCCTATACCCCCTTTCATTTTTCCTTTACAGTCCCTTTAAGCGTTGTTTTGAGCTAAACTCATCCTACACTCAGGCATTCTTTGCTTAAACGCCGGAGAGAATTAGTTTGGACCAGATCATGCAGTTCCTGGAATCCAATCCAAAAATCCTTAATTTTTACTATTTTCAACCAAACCTTAAACCCAACCTTTGAACACAATATTCAACCTAATTTAAATAGAAGATATTCATCTTTTAACTTACTCAACCTCAGTTTAATATATTCATCCTAACTTACTCAACCCCAACCTTAGTTCAAGATATTCATCCTAACTTACTCAACCCCAACCTTAGTTCAAGATATTCATCCTAACTTACTCAACCCCAACCTTAGTTCAAGATATTCATCCTTACTCAACCTTAGCCTTAATACAAGATATTCCTCCTAACTTACTCAATCCTTTCTTAGTTCAAGATATTCATCCTAACTTACTCAACCTCAACCTTAGTTCAAGATATTCATCCTTACTCAACCTTAGCCTTAATACAAGATATTCCTCCTAACTTACTCTATCCTTTCTTAGTTCAAGATATTCATCCTAACTTACTCAACCTCAACATTAGTTCAAAATATTCATCCTTACTTAACCCCAACCTTAGCTCAAAATATTCATCTTGCAGTATCCATTTATTTTGGGTAAAAGGACAGGAAGAGGCTCCGGAAAGGGATGGTCAGGTGAATAACTTGGATATAAGGGGAAAAGTGGGAACATTTTATTTAGAGAAAAAGTCGGTATTCTGCATACAAGGAATTCTTTAGAAAAATAAGAGAGTTGGTTCCATATTTGAACTTAAGGACGATTGATTTAAATTTCTCTTTACTTTACCCTTCTATTATCATTAAAGGAACTCAGTTTTCACACAAACTTAAATTTTATTATCCTGACGTTGTAAATCATTGATATTTCAATCTTATATTATTTGATCTCACAGAATTCACAGTTTGAAATATCATAAGTCTACTACATTGGGTTGCCAAGATATTGGGAGATCAGAGTTTGTGGCAAAAACTCAGTTCCTTTAAATCATTAGTTTGGGAATGGTTTTGGACAAAAAATACATTCCAAATATTCAAATATTAAACTATTCAAAAATGACAGGAATCGCTAGAAATATTTTGTAATATTTAACTATAATATTAGGATCTCCTTTTTTCTTTCTCCCTTTTAACCTTCTTTCTACATGTCATTAAAGAAGCAATTATAGTGCAAAAAAAAACATTCCAAATATTCAAATATTTAAATATCCAAATATTCAAATATTTAAATATCCAAATATTCAAATATACAAATATACAAATATCCAAATATTCGAATATCCAAATATTCAAAAATCTAAATATTCAAATATCCATATATACAAATATCCAAATATTCAAATATCCAAATATCCAAATATTCAAGTATCCAAATATTCAAATATCAAAATATTCAAATATCCAAATATTCAAATATCCAAATATTCAAATATCCAAATATTTCAAATATCCTAATATCCAAATATTCAAATATCCAAATATTCAAATATCCAAATATCCAAATATTCAAATATCCAAATATTCAAATATCCTAATATCCAAATATTCAAATATCCAAATATTCAAATATCAAATTATCCAAACATTCAAATAATCAAATATCCAAATATTCAAATATCCAAATAGTCAACTATCAAAATATTCTAATATCCAAATATTCAAGTATCCAAATATTCAAATATCCAAATATTCAAATATTCAAATATTCAAATATCCAAATATTCAAATATCCAAATATTCAAATATCCAAATATGCAAATATCCAAATATGCAAATATCTAAATATTCAAATATCCAAATATTCTATTATCCAAATATTCAAATATCCAAATATTCAAATATCCAAATATGCAAATATCCAAATATTCAAATATTCAAATATTCAAATATCCAAATATTCAAATATCAAATTATCCAAACATTCAAATAATCAAATATCCAAATATTCAAATATCCAAATATTCAAATATCCAAATATTCAAATATCAAATTATCCAAACATTAAAATAATCAAATATCCATATATTTAAATATCCAAATATTCAAATGTCCAAATATTCAAATGTCCAAATATACAAATATCCAAATATTCAAATATCCAAATATTCAAATATCCAAATATTCAAATATTCAAATATTCAAATATCCAAATATCCAAATATCCAAATATTCAAATATCCAAATATCCAAATATTCAATTATCCAAATATTCAAATATCAAATTATCCAAACATTCAAATGATCAAATATCCAAATATTCAAATATTCAAATATTCAAATATCCAAATATTCAAATATCCAAATATTCAAATATCCAGATAGACAAATATTAAAATATTCAAATATCAAATAGTCAACTATCAAAATATTCAAATATCCAAATATTCATATTTCTACTAATTAAATATAGGAATAAAGGAATCTCTTGCTACTTTTGCTTTTAATAATATAAAGTTTAAAATTGTGTCATATTTTCACGCTAATGAATTTGGGTCCGTCCAAGTTGTCCATTGTTTCGTTTATTCATAAAATATTCTAATGTCTGCAAAACAAGATTCAACTGTGCAAAATAGTGCGAACCGGAACATGCAAAATTGATAGAAACGGTTTCATGTTAGGTTTATGTTCAGAGCGGAGCATGATTCAGGACGGATAAATATTCAGGATGGAATGCCGGACTGATACAGATTCCAGGACGAATATTAGTATCAAGACGGAAACAAGGATGGAATTCAGGACTGATACTATTTCCAAGACGTATACAAGGACGGAATCTATGACTAAAACAGGTTCCAAGACGGATACAAGGACGAATCATGGGTTTAAAGGTATTTGATTCTATGAGAATGATCTTAAATGATCCGCTGGCATGTAATCCTGGAGTAAATAGAAAGGAAGTTATCATTTAAGTACAAAATTAGAATTTAACCAGAGAGTTGAACCAGACAATTAATCTTTAAACCACAGAAACTCCAGGCTTAGAAGGAGATAGGAGAAGAGGAAGATAAAGAGTGGAGAGCAAATATAATCTTGGCTCTAGTTATAATTATATAATCCAACTAGTTCAATGATCAAATTAATATTTGTCCTTACTTCCTGTACCCTTCTGTTCCTTTATAGTTTAACTTTATGTCATACGATCTTAGATAATTGTTCATTTCTGAGTGGGTTTTTTTCTAAGTTAGGTTTGAAAAATTATTTAGAATCAATTTTTTTCTATTCGATGTCAGTGAAATCTACTATGTCTACTCTATGTCTATCAAATCTACTATATCTACTTTATGTCTATCAAATCTACTATGCCTACTCTATCTCTATCACATTTACTTGTCTACTCATGTCAATCAAATCTACTTTGTCTACTCTATGTCAATCAAATCTGCTATTTCTACTCTATGTCAATCATATCTGCTATTTCTACTCTATGTCCATCAAATCTACTATTTATTTCTAAAAATATACAATCTACCATGTCTATTATAGGTTCATCAAATCTACAAGTGTACAGGGTTTGTGTCTGCTAGAACACTTCCCTGTTTTATATTGAACCCAGTTGTCAAGGTCACCTAGACAACAGGCAACCTAGAGTAATCCTGCTCAATACATACTAAGGGCATATACTCAGAACCTGTACATATACTCAACCCACCTGGAGAATATATAAGTCAACCCACCTGGAGAATATATCAACCCACCTTGGATAATATGTATACTAACCCACCTGGAGAATATATACTCACCCACCTGGAGAATATATACTCAACCCACCTGGAGAATATATACTCAACCCACCTGGAGAATATATACTCAACCCACCTGGAGAATATATACTCAACCCACCTGGAGAATATATACTCAACCCACCTCCACCTGAAGAATATACTCAACCCACCTGGAGAATATATACTCAACCCACCTGGAGAATATATACTCAACCCACCTGGAGAATATATACTCAACCCATCTGGAGAATATATACTCACCCCAGCCTGTTTTTATTAAATGACCAAAAAGATTCTGTAATGTCAGAATATTTGACACCATGCAAAGTTCTGAAGTTTTATAGATCTATAAACTAATAGTCCTAAACAACTTTTAGATGTGTTCACCTTATTTTGAAGTTTATTCTTTCTATTTATTTTATTTAACATTTAAAGGGAGTGACTTTCTAAACACTTTCAGTTGAACTAAAAGTGCAGTATTGTAGAGAAAAACTTTAGAATTCATTTCATTCCAATGAGACATTTTTACTATGTACAATCTTTTAAATAAGAGCGAAAGTCGTAAGTATAATTTCACCAGTTGTTTCAGTCAACAGAAAAAAAACGTTTCAGCTCAACTACCATGTCTTGCAAGTCACTCATATATATTATATAAGTAGTAATCTATCTCTGTTTCTTTAGTTGGATGTACGATCATAACTCATGAACCCCTGGTAAGATTTGCCTCAAATTTTGCTTGGAGAATTTGGTAAAACCACGGGAATCTGTTAAGCTTGGTGTAAAACTTCTAAGTTGATTAAGTTGACTATTAAAGGGAAAGTTTAGATTGCCAGACAAAGCTGGGTTCCCAAGCTGTAGTTACTA